CGCAGGAATGCGGGGACATTCCAGGGACACCGGAGGGGGATCTGTCCCTGTCCCAAATCCCACCCGCGCCGGGCGGGACCCCGGGGGGACATCCCTGTCCCATCCTTGTCCCTGTCCTGTCCTGTCCCTGTCCCTGTCCCTGTCCCTGTCCCTGTCCCTGTCCCTGTCCCATCCTTCTTCCTGTCCCCTCCCTGTCTCTGTCCCCTCCCTGTCCCCTCCCTGTCGCTGTCCCGGGTTGGGGACAGGTCCCAGGGTCACCCTCCCGGTGTCACCAGCCAGGCTCGGCGGGCACAGAGGGGATGGCGGTGGCCCTGGCGGTGACCGCAGGTCCCTCCGGGCTGTCCCCAGCGCCACCAGCCCCGGCCCGGCCCCTCCCGAGCGGGGCTGGAAAAGCGTTTTTTAAAAATCCCGAAGGATGGAGCCCGGCGGGGGGGCCGGGGGTGGCAGTGAGGGACCGGCGACAGCGGGGACATCCCGGGGGTGCTCCTGGCACAGAGGTGACACCGATCCTGGCACGGGGAGGGGGTGGCACCGATCCCAGCCCGGCCCCGGGGGGCTCCAGCCCTGCGGATGGTGCTGAACTCGATGGCATCGAAGACTTTGGACGAGACGCTGTCACTCGGCCGGACGAGGACCTGCGGGGAGGGGACAGTGACATCCGCGTCCCCTCCTCCCTCCCGGTGTCCCCACCCCTCCCGCGCCCACCTCGCTCCTCCCGCTGCTATTCCACGTCCCCGTTCTCCCTGTGCGCGCCGGGGGCCGCGGGCTCCTCGCACGGCGACAGCTCATCGATGGACGCCTGGTTGGTGATGCCTGCCGGGGACACGGGCGCGGGGTCACCGGCGACACCCCAAAACTTGGGGCCACCCCCCCTTGAGCTCCTGCCACCTCCCCCGCCTGGGGACGCCGCGACAGAGCCGGCCCCGAGCGGGTCCGGGCGGTCGCCAGCCCCTCCTCGGTGGCCGCGGTGGTCGCGGTGGTCCTGTCCTACCGCTGGCCGCCCTCTCCTTCCACTTCTGCTTGTTCTCCTGGATGTGCTTGGTCCAGGTGGAGCGGAACCCGGCCAGGTCGGCTTTGATGTCCCCCAGCTCCAGGTGCTCATCCAGGGACGGCTGCCGCCACTGCGAGCTGGGGGACAGCGGCGACAGCTGGCAGCGGGCCAGGGCCACCGCGGCCACCGCGGGGCTCGGAGCGCGGGGACGGGGACCCCCCACCTGGGCTGCTGGGGGGTCGCGGGGTTGCCCTTGGCCTTGGAGCCGTCCTCGGCCAGAGGCGTCACCAACTTCTCGGCCACGTCGGTGAGCACCGAGAACGTGGGCTCCACGATGAAGTCGATGAACCCTGGGGACGGGAGGGGACACGGCGCGGCTGGCGACACGGCGGGGACACGGCGGGGACGCGCGACAGGGGACGGGGACCTCCCCCGCACTCACCGATCTGCGACTGGGCCACCAGCGTGGAGGTGCGGTCGCAGAGGGGCGAGAAGGGCAGCCCCAGCTCGGCCTCCTTGTCCCCCTGGCAAGGCAAGGGACAGGCGTGGTGTCCCCAAGGGGTGTCCCCCGAGCCCCCCCCGGCCCGGCCCGGCCCTACCTGCCGGAAGAACTCCTCCATGAGCGCCTTGGTCCAGCGGCTGTGAACCGCCCACTGCTTGGTGGGGTGGCTGATGTCGGCCGCGTGCAGCAGCAGCGACAGCACCTTGGACTTGTCCAGCCTGGGCGACAAACACGGATTGTCCCCAAAGCCACCCGCGCCGCGCGTGGCCGCGGACATCCGTCCCCTCCTCACGCGCCCCGCCGCGACCCCCGCCCACCTCTCCAGCTGCTGCAGCGCCGTCTTCATGGACTTGACCTGCTGGAAGTGGCAGGACATGTCGGTGGCCAGGACCATGTCGATGACCAGGGCCCGCAGCTCCCTGCGGGGTGGGGACACGGCGTCAGCGACAGGGTGGGGACAGCGAGGGGACAGCGGGGGGACAGAGAGGGGACAGAGAGGGGACAGTGCGGGGAAAGTGAGGGGACAGCGGGGGACAGCGAGGGGACAGGGTGGGGATAGCGAGGGGACAGCGAGGGAAGAGTGAGAGGACAGCGCGGGGACAGCACAGGGACACCGCGGGGACAGCGAGGGGACACCGCGGGGACAGAGCTTACGCGAACTCGTCCTTGGTGAGGTTGACGAAGATGTTGAGCTCCTCGTCCTGCATCAGGCGGAACACGGCGCTGATGTGGTGGTTCTCCAGCACCGAGCGGTCGTTGTACAGGATGGCGGTGTCCGACCTGGGGACACGGTGACACGGGGGACGCTGGGCGCGCCAGGGGTGGCCCCAGGGGGTGGCACGGCCGGGTCCCGGCTGTGCTGGTGGCGCTGGGTGTCCCCAAGGAGCCGCCACGGCTATAGCCAGGCTGGGCAGGTGACCCCAGGTGTGGGCGGGGTGACCCGCGGTGTCACCGGGAGAGGTTTGCAGCCCCGCGTGGGACACGCTGTGCCACCCGTGCCACCCGTGCCGTGTCACCTGTGCCGTGTCCCCGTGTCCCCGCGCCCTCACTTGGTCTGGATGTGGAAGCTGTTGGTTGTCCCCGTGTGCTCGAAGTCGTGGATGGCGGCGGCGAAGACGATGGCCAGGAGCTCGATCTCGGACAGGCAGTGCTGGGGACAGGGACAGGGACAGGGACGGGGACAGGGACAGGGACACGCACCGGGTGTGCCGTGACAGCCACGTGGGGACAGCAGGCAGCACGTGCACCAGGTGCCACCGTCGGGGCCAGCTGTCCCCCTGTCCTCGTGTCCTCCTGTCTGTCCCTGTGTCCCTGTGTCTGTCCCCATGTCCCTGTGTCTATCCCCGTGTCCCCCTGTCCTGCTGTCCCCCTGTCCTCCTGTCTGTCCCCACTGTCCCTCTGTCCCCATGTCCTCCTGTCTGTCCCCATGTCCCTGCATCCCCACTGTCCCCAATGTCCCCCGTCTGTCCCTGTGTCCCCGTGTCTGTCCCCATGTCCCTGTTTCTATCCCCGTGTCCCTGTGTCTGTCCCCATGTCTGTCCCTGTGTCCTCGTGTCCCCCTATCTGTCCCCATGTCCCCGTGTCCTCGTGTCCCCCTGTCTGTCCCCATGTCCCCGTGTCCCCATGTCCCCGTGTCTGTCCCCATGTCCCTGTGTCTATCCCCGTGTCCCTGTGTCTGTCCCCATGTCTGTCCCCGTGTCCTCGTGTCCCCATGTCTGTCCCCATGTCCCCGTGTCCCCATGTCCCCGTGTCCCCTGTCTGTCCCCTGTCTGTCCCGGTGTCCCCGTGTCCCCATGTCCCCATGTCCCCGTGTCTGTCCCCTGTCTGTCCCCGTGTCCCCGTGTCCCCGTACCAGCATGCCGGTGCGCAGCAGGAAGCAGTGCACGGTCTGTGTGACATCGGCCGCGTGCACCTGGTTGTGGTACGGGTTCCGGAACTTTCCGTAGCCGGATTCCAGCGCCTCCAGCAGCGACGTCAGGAACGCGCCGGGAATCTGGGAATGGGACAAGGAGGGAGGGAGGGGAGGGGGTGACAGACCCCGAGGGGGTCCGGGGGGGGGCTGGGAAAGCTCCTGAAGGGGAGTTTGGGGGGTTCTGGGTGGTTTTGGGGGGGTCCTGAGGGGGTCTCGGGGTGCCTCGGGTGGAGTTTGGGGAGTGTTTGGGGTTTTGGGGGTTTTTTTTGGGGTGTTCTGGAGGATTCTGGATGTTGGTCACACCTTGAAGCGGCTGTTGAGGGTTCTGGGGTGGGATTTTGGGGATTTTGGGGTGATTTGGGGTGATTTTGGGGTCCGGGTCACACCTTGAAGCGGCTGTTGAGGGTTCTGGGGTGGGATTTTGGGGATTTTGGGGTGATTTGGGGTGATTTTGGGCTCCGGGTCACACCTTGAAGCGGCTGTTGAGGGTTCTGGGGTGGGATTTTGGGGATTTTGGGGTGATTTTGGGTGATTTTGGGGTCTGGGTCACACCTTGAAGCGGCTGTTGAGGTTGTGGCGGGTGAAGAGCTCGAAGACCACGGTGCGCAGCGAGTGCTCCTCGGCCGCGCGGTGCAGCGAGAAAACATCGAAGCACCACTGGTCCAGCCCCTGCGGGGACATTCCAGGGACGGCCGGGAATTCCAGGGACGGCCGGGAATTCCAGGGACGGCCGGGAATTCCAGCGATTCCCAGTGAAGTCCAGTAAAACCCCAGTGAAGCCAGGGGTGCCCGGTGACTCCCGGGGGTGCCATCCAGGGATTTCCAGGGATTTCCAGGGATTTCCAGAGATTCCCGGGAAGGTCCAGCCGTGTCCAGTGATGTCCAGTGAAGCCCAGAGTGTCCAGGGGGACCCAGAGATTCCCAGGGGTGCCCAAGCAGGGACAATTCCAGTGACCCCCAGTGACTCCCAGTGACCCCCCCCCAGCCATTCCCAGTGATTCCCAGTGACTCCCAGCCGTTCCCAGTGACTCCCAGCCGTTCCCAGTGACTCCCAGTGACCCCCCCGGCAGCCCCCCGGGGTTTTTGGGGTGCCCCGGTACCTTCAGGCAGTTGAGGACGGAGGAGGAGTAGCTCGGCCCCACGGCCGTGTACATCCGGCGGAACATCCTGAGGGGGAGGCAGGGCTGGGGGGGCTGGGGACAGCCCTGGGGACCCCCCTGGGGACGGGGACACCCCTGGGGACCCCGCTGGGGACTGGGGACACCCCTGGGGACCCTCCTGGGGACTGGGGGCACCCCTGGAGACAGCCCTGGGGACAGGGGACAGCCCTGGGACCCCTCCTGGGGACCCCCCTGGGGACGGGGACACCCCTGGGGACCCCGCTGGGGACTGGGGACACCCCTGGGGACCCTCCTGGGGACTGGGGGCACCCCTGGAGACAGCCCTGGGGACAGGGGACAGCCCTGGGAACCCTCCTGGGGACACCCCTGGGGACTGGGGACCCTCCTGGGGGCTGGGGACACCCCTGGGGACACCCCTGGGGACTGGGGACCCTCCTGGGGGCTGGGGACACCCCTGGGGACACCCCTGGGGACACCCCTGGGGACACCCCTGGGGACTGGGGACCCTCCTGGGGACACCCCTGAATTCTGGGGACACTCCTTGGGGCTGGGGACAGTCCTTGGGTGTCGGTTCTGGGGACCCACCTGGGTTTTGGGGACCCAGCCGTGCTCAGGTCACTCTCATGTCCCCCCCGCCCCGAGCTCCGTCCCCACCGTGGCTGTCCCCTGTCCTCGGGGGGGGGGGGTCCCTGTCCCCATCCCTGTCCCCTGTCCCTGTCCCTGTCGCCGTCCCTGTCACCTCTCCACGAAGATCCCGGCCTGCACGGCGTGCACGATGCTGCGGAATTTGGGTTTCTCCTCGGCCCGGCGGCCCTTGGCCCGCGCCTGCTGCGTGAAGGTGGCCGCCAGCCAGTCCCGCACCTCGGAGGGCACGGCCGCGTCCGAGCCCATGTCCCGCAGCTCGTCCTCCGTGTCCAGCACCTGCCTGAGGGGCACGGCCGCGCTCAGGACCCCCCCGGCCCGCCCAGGGACCCCTCCCCAAAATGCCCGGGGAGCCCTGCACGTGCTCAGGGCACCCCCCCGCCCCCCAACCGGGTCAGGGACCCCCGCATTGTCCGGAGGGGTCTCGAAAAATACTCGGGGACCCCTTAATGACACTCAGGGACCCCTTAATGGCACTCAGGGACCCCCTTAATGACACTCAGGGACCCCTTAATGACACTCAAGGACCCCCTAAATGACACTTAGGGACCCCCCCATGCTAAGGGACCCATTAATGACACTCCACCGCTGCCCCCTCCCGGTGCTGCCTCTCTGTCCCCGCACTGTCCCCTCTCCGTCCCCACTCTCCCCTCGCTGTCCCCTCTCTGTCCCTCCTCTGTCCCCTCTCTGTCCCCTCTCTGTCCCCTCTCTGTCCCCTCTCTGTCCCCTCGCTGTCCCCTCTCCGTCCCCCCTCTGTCCCCCCTCTGTCCCCCCTCTGTCCCCTCTCTGTCCCCTCTTTGTCCCCTCTCTGTCCCCTCTCTGTCCCCTCCCCACCTGGTCTCATCGATGCAGACAGCCTCGAGCAGCGAGGCCGCGTATTCCAAATTTCTCTTCAGCTCCTCCACGTTCAGCTCGCCCGAGTCCAGCTGCTT